TAGTGCTGTTGGTAAGATGTATTATATTTGTGCTTTGCTTGAGAATGCTCGTACCTGCCTTTATGGTAACATTGTTTCATCCTTTTTTTAACTTTTACCACCTACATTAGATGAATATTTTTGGTGATTGTTATAGAACATTGTTTCATCCTTTTTTGAACTTTTACCACCTACATTAGATGAACATTTTTGGTGAATGTTTATATAAAAAAATCATGTTGGAGTATGTTGTAAAAGTTATCTTGTAAAATACCAGAGATGTAAAGGTCATCTTGTAAAATACCAGGGGTAAAATACCATGATCTGGTGGGGGGAGGGTTCTGCCAGCTCTAGTGTTGAGCGATCATGTACGCCACCCGCCCATCAACATCGTCATTAGTATTGCTTGACTACAGTACCGGTATTTCAAATTGAATTGTAATTGTTGTTCACAGTTTGTTATCTTTTTACTCAAATTACTGTATCTCATTTTGTTTCCAATATGTCTATGCTTTACTATGACTGAATAGCACCCCCCTCCCCCTCCCCAGTAAATCCATCCTGGTAAAATACTGTATATGTAAAATATTAATTATCTATCTCGGCAAATGTCTAATGTATTTTTCCCATACAACCAATAGTAATGTTGGGATTAATTTGGAAAAAAATACAATAGACAGGTGAAAAGTTGGGAACCATTTCTAGCATAAACCTGTATTTAAATACTGCTTAAACTAAACTGTCAAATATAGTAAACATGGACTTTTTTAACATTTAGTTGTTATTAAATATTAACATATTTTTTATACAAATTATTTAATATTTTACAAGTCATATATTACAATATTGAGCATATTTATTCATATTACAATATATAATAACCTTTTTATTAATATTTTTAACATTAAATATTTTTATTTATACAAATTATTTAATATCTTACAATTCATGTATTATATAAAAATAGCATAAAACCAGTGGCAAAGCCAGCACAACAATTTGCCAGTCATCCCATTCAAATTTAGAAATGATCATTAGAAATCATTATTCAGAAATTATCAATATTCATTTCTTTAGAAATGGATTGTTTTCATGGCCTTTGAACATGAAAATATTTGTATATCATGATTAAATTGTTGGGTTGGCTTCTCCACTGTATAAAACATTCAGTGAATTTGATAATTTATACCTGAAAAAGTATGCATTAAACAACTATTCTACTTAATTTTAAAAGTAAATGTAAAATCATTTATCTCTGTTGCTCAATAACGAAGCCAATAGTTGTGTTTGTTGTTGTTGTTGTTGCATCATTGATAACATCTGCTGATGAAGCATGCCAAACTGCTGCTGTTGTTGCTGGTTTTGCTGCTGTTGCTGCTCTTGAACTTGCAATAGCTGATGCTGCCACTGGGTTTGAGATGCTTTCATCTGTTCAATTAAAATGTTTCTTTCCTCTTTCAAAGCTTCTCTCTCTTCTCTTTTATCCTCCAATTCTTTCTCTCTAGATGTCCGCTCATTCAACGCCCTTTCCTTTAGCCAATCAAACATTTCTGATGAACTTCTTCTCTTCTTTTCTGGTGGTGTTTTGTATTGCCCCAATTCTCCTTGCAATCTCTGCCTAGTCTCTCCATATCTTTCCATTGCTCTCTCCCTCATTTCCAATGCTTGTGATCTTTCTGCTTCAGCATTCCCTCTCCTTACACCAGCTTCTTCTTCTACTCTCCTCTCAGTCTCATCACGAATATCAACCAATTCTTCCAACAATGCTTCTCTTTCTGTCAGTTCTTCTCCTCCTAAACCAGTTCCCCTCTCTTCTTTTGCAACCTTAGCTTGATGCCTCTTTGCAATTATGGTAAAATGGTCACGAACCGCTCTTGATGTTACTTCAGAGCCAGACGTCAAGCTGCTACTTAAGTTATTTGCAACAGCTTGCCATCCGGCTCCTCTCTCTCGAGACCCAGCCTTGTGTTGAAGTAACCCGTCTGCAGCGACTTCACGCAACATGATGAGATCATTTTTCTCATTCCACACTACCACAGCCCTACAATTTTAAATATGTAAAGAAGTTTATTAAAGCATCCACTCATGCCCTAATTGTGTAATATTATTAAATTAATATTACATAGTTTACATGGGTTTATTACATCACTTCTTTATAATGCTTCTTCTCTGTCTAATACCAGACAGATTTTACTTGTTATGAAAGGGGATGATTGTGTTGATACTGTATGTCTGGAAATGTGCCTTGTGCCCTCATCTACCCAGTGCCTTAGCCAGAACGATAATTGGGGGGGGGCACATATTCATATATTCGTGTTCACATACCATAAAAACAACTGATTTCAAAAGAAATTAATAAAGCAGAACACGAATATATGAATATGTGCCCCCCCCCAATTATCGTTCTGGCTACGGCACTGCATCTACCCACCCACTTTGTATTACATTTTAATATACTAGTGATCAGTCAATATAAAAAATACTCTTCATAAAATTACAGCATTAGAATTGCCTGTTCAAAATTTCTTACTTTTTCTTTGTCTCTGTTGCTGTTACCAGCAGCTCACTCTCCATACTATGCTGAAGTAAAATAAAATATATATCACATCTTTTATTTTTCATAGGTACTGTATATATCATTCATCTATAATAGTTTTTAGATGGATAATTGGATATTATATTTATGTGATATTTTTATGTTATATGTGACTCTCTTGGGAAAACGTACGTTAACGGTTTTGAAAAACGTTCTAAAAAATCGTTCGTTATCCGTTCGTTATCCGTTTAAACGCTTTAGCGTTCCGTTGAAACGATTTTTGAGATCGTTCAGACTCCTTAATGAACCGTTCGAACGGTTGGATAAAAACGTGTGAAAAATGCTGCTAAATCGTTCGAACGATTTGTACAAAACGTTCAAATACGTTCATGAAGCCGTTTAAATGCCTTAGAGAATATCTTTACAATGGTTAAACCGACTTTGACTTTGTAGGCGTGTCTAAAAGTTTATTTGAAACCGCTTGCCTTGTAAGATTTAGAAAAGAATACTATTAGACAAGTATTACGGACAGTTATATATTGTTGCAGTATTTCACCGCAACGTCGAAACTGTTGCGGTGAAATACTGCAACAATACTATAATTGAGCAAAATGTTTCTCATATGTTAAAAGGTGGTTTAATTAAAATACACATCTGCGAGCTTGCCGTTTCCGTCTTTTAATAGCATTAGCTTAGTGTCAACTAATTCACTTAAGTTCTATTTTTTCTGGTCGAAAGAGTCGTTATGTTACAAATACAATTGTATCAAACCAAACATAAAACACTTTCAATGTACAGTAATATTGATCTTAATAATATACCTGCATGGCTCACCAGTTTAGAGAGGGAATTTTGCCTATGCGCCGAATAAAAAAACACGTACTTGAAAGCGGCAGTAGATCAGCGACTAACTCAATTAAATTCTTGCAAGGTAACTACATGCGACACGGCACAAATTTCGCTAAATCATGTCACATTATCCGGCAAAGATTCGACATAAGTTTAGACGACGCGCCTTTCATGCATGCACCGAAGGTAATGTATTTTAACAGTTTCACCCGAAACACAACTCTTCGTAATATTACTAATACATTACCAGCAACGAGATAACATGACATTTCCAACATATATAGGTATGCATATAGCCGCATTTTGATACGGCATTTGTAGAAAGTCTAGTAGCTTTCGACATGGACAAACCAAAAATATAAAACCAATGGCGATTTAATGTCCTGCATAATGCATATATATATATATATATACGCGGGCAGACGCCAGACGGCAAACGAGGTATTAATTACTCAACTTAGTTTGACGGGAATCGGCATATCAACACCTAACTGGCACCAATAAACCTATAATTATAATGACAAATTCGTGTAGTATAATGTGCACAAATGGACTTCAATCAGGTCGTTTAAAACAGTGAGAGTTCTAGAGAAGGAGTTTTTTTAATTCTGCCCTATTCATGCATCTTCCAAAACTGGTGTATAAGAAAATTAGAAAAATATAGGGAGAGTTTATTATTATTTGATTAAATGACTACGTATGTATATAGTTGTGTAAAATGGAGAACGGCAACGGCGCAAACCGTACTCGAAGACCCTGGCCGTGCGACGCACTCCCCGTTTCAATTAAATTTGCACACAACACTATTCGCAACTATTCGACGACTATTTTTTTATGCGGATACTGCGGTAGTTACTTGATTCACATGCAGCTGGCATTCTCCTGTCACCAACCGAAACCGATACTGTTTCAATGTAAAAAATGTAACAGCCAGCAACAGCCAGCTATACTTTTTTAGCTCTGATCCACTTATCTGGGGAAAATGTCCAAGTTGATATTAAACGTGATCCCTGGAGCCTTTTAACTGCTTTATTAATTATAGTTAACTATTTAAACAAAATGACTGATTTTATAAAAGATGTGGCCAAGTGGGAATCAGCTACGGCCAGCTACAACATAAAGAATAATAAAACACAGTCAATCACCAATTTTAATTTTCCTCAGTTAATTAAACCATGCATGCATGCATTTATTTCCGAGTTTTAGGAGGTGATCTTGCAGCGTGCGCTTACATGTGCAAAATGGAATGTTTCAGGATAGAATATTATACCTTTTTGGCGTTTCAAACACTTCATTTTATAATTATTTCATTGGTATTGTTAATAGCAAATTTTCATGTGCCTTCCGTCTATCGGGAGCTATTGTGCTATAATAACTGATATAAGCAGCTGTTATAAGAACGAAAACTGTCATAAGAAAGAAACTCTTAATTATCGCGACTTCGACTCGAGGAATCTCAAAGATTAAGGAATTATTCCGATACTCTAATTTTCTTTTCTGCAGGGCTGAGTACGACTACAGTATTAGTTGTCGAGTAGAGATCACTCGGGAAACATATCGATTTTTCCTTAACCCACCTCTTCGTATTTTCAGATTATATATCGCGTCGTGTAGCGTGATAGGAAACACTTGCATGTCACAAAAATGACATTAATTAGATTAATTATATCTTTCTAACCAAGCTATTTTTATACAAGTTGTCACAATATTAGCTTGCAAAGTTCAAATTGCACCAATACGGATAGGATGTTTATTTGTGTGCGAGTGTAAATTCGATAGATTCATGAAGAGATAAATTAAGTCAGTGCCATAAATTAAGTTAAAGAATACATGGATTAATTTATTTATTTATGAGATGATATTACTGAGGATTTGTGTAGCTTAAAAGAATAGGACGACATCACAAGTGGGAAGACGTCGTAAGGTTAGCGTATGTAGTCCTGGTGGTCAACTAGTTAGGCCCCTATGCGGATTAAATAATAATTATAATTTATTTCTGATTTCTTTAAAGAAAGTAAAATAGGAGACCACCAGGAAAAGTAGTGTGTGTTAACGTGTTCCAAGCTATATATCTTTGCATTTCCCAACTCGAATAATTTTTTTTTGGCGGGGGGAAACAGCCTTATATATATAGTTGTGTGACTTGTGTATAGGCTATGTTAAATATAGTCTAGCAAAGACGTTTTAAATAGCGATGTTGTGATTGCGCGAAAACATAAAAGGGAATTGGTCTTCTTCATTAGGCTTGTAAAATGTACTGTATCCATATATTTATAGTAACTATAAATATATGGATATAACCAGTAGATTAAGGATATCGGCTTACTTTTAAAAAGTCGGTATTTCGTGCTTAATAATTGAAGCCTTATAATTGGCACATGTGAGCGTCTTTTGGTTGCATGGTGGATGTATGTATGTACATAAATGATAAGTGACCGTGATATGATGACTTTACATTCACAGGATTTTGTGCATTTTAAGGAGTGCACACACATTTTTCAGTACCAATATTTCGTCATTATTATTATCTGCATTCTGCAATATACCTTATAATTTCTGCGTGCTGTGTTTTATATTTGCCGTTCAAACTGTTTAGTTAGTTTAAATATCTTTAGGTCTTGACCATTTACTATTATATGTTAGTATAACACATCGCTATAAGTGCATCGCTATAAAAGTATCTTTGCCTAATATTCAGGAGCGAATTATGAATTATTACGGAAAATATTATAATGGCAATAATTCAACAACCAGCATGTAATCTGCATTTTAGACCTGCCGTGTTTCACCAGGCTATAGTATAGAGGAAATTACCGATGCGTACATTAAGCATGCAATGGACGCCCGATTTTAATTCGACAGAAATGTGTCCATGCACAATATCACATACTGAGCCATAGGCTATATAATTGAGACAATAGCACTCGGCGACAAGTTCGATGGACACAGATAATGTATCGTTAATTCTAGCTGTTGTGTCTTTAATAGTTATAGCGTTGCATATATGCTCAAACTGTGGTCGGTAAATCCCCACAATATATGATCAGCTCCCGAGTTCATGTTCTTTTTTTTCCAACTTTGGATTGTGCTATTTTCTAGTGTTCTTGTCTGGCTATTTTCATGCCTAATCTTATTATACTACACTAATTAATTTAATTTCCTTTTTGAAATTATGAATCACGAAAATATTGTCAACAAATCCTATATACGCAAAATTTCTTACATATATATAGACTATAGAGACTATATGCATGTTTCGTATGTGTATACTATACTTTTAGTTTTAGGCCTGATAACTACTATATATTGCGCATAGTTGCGTTTAGAGTAGAGAGGTGACGTAAGTCCCAGGTCGGCTGTGTTATGCATAGCTATAAAAATATCGCCGCATGTCTCCGGTATAAACTGATTGTCTCTAGACTTTAATAGTGCAAAACCGCTTTAGCGTCTTTGATTTTGTTAGTATGGAATCAACAAACTTGAAACGTTAATAAACACCAAAGTGATCTATATTATTTCTGCTTATGCATGCATCTGGACAAATGCGTGGTTGTTAATTCTGGTTCAGTGTACTGACGTTTTTGTATAGTGTTCACTGCTTTATACCAATCTGTTAGTCAGATCCGTTGAAACGGTGGGCGAATACCGTTCAAACGGCTTCTTAATTTCGTTCGAACGGTTTGTAAAAACCGTTCGTAAAGGCGTTAAATTTTTTGTCTTCATCCGTTCGTATTTTTCACTCAAAACGTCTAAAACGTTTTGAAGATCCGTTAAAACGATTTGACAAAACGTTTACTATCCGTTCGTTATCCGTTTTTTTGCCCGTTTTAATGCAAGATCGTTAACGTACGTTTTCCCAAGGAAGGTCACATTTTATTATCTATAATTTCACCTCGGCGACAATGTGGACAGCTGGCGATTACATGCGTGAAATCTCCTTTGGACACTTGAAAATCACAGATCACACAGCGACAGCTTTTACAATTGGGATAAAAATCTGTCTATGTGCATACGGGGCACGTACTCAAATGGGAGATGTGTAAATCTTTGTTACAACTGTTACAAGTTACGTCAGCATCAGATTGTGTATCCTGACGAGACCACTTGTGGGCTAACACAGAAAGGACATGTCCATTTAGGATTAGGCTTTATCAAATTCCAATTCTGCAAGACCTTTTATAAAAATATT